GTTGTTGGAAGAAATCTCCTTTTGTTTTTTCCCCACTTTCCAGAGCTAATTCTGTAAGGAAGACAGGAAGGAAACATTCTGGTGTTTCTAGCCTAATTTTTATTGCCCTGCTTACGGAAACTGCCTGTCCAGTTAATCCTTATTACATTGTCACAGCTAAGGCGAAGCGCCCATCGACCTGAGTGACATTGAGTTAGCCACGCCCACCAAGTCACATGACCACCGAGCCCCACCTACCCAGATGGTCATTAGGGCAGAGAACCGGTTGTTAAATTATTTGAATCCCACTGTGGCGGGAAATATGAGGACTGCTCATAAATCACTTTCTTCCGTCCCCTTGTAACTCTGTGCAGCTGCTAAACGAACAGTTTAGCCAAGCCAAGCACTATCCGAATGTTGGCGTTTGTGTGGTCTAAAGCAGTTTCCCTCAACCTCAGGGAGATTAAGATGGGTGAACCTCTGTCCCCACAACTCTTTTGGACTCAGTTTCAAAGCCAGAAGGGTGGCACCTCCATTAAATTAAAATAGAATAAAATGAATGGAAAAAATCAGGGCGGGACTTTTGTCGATTCCACAGTTAAATCAAACAGAGAAACAAAAGAGGTGAGGCCTCTCTTTTAAAAAGTGGGTCTACTAAACCTTACAGACTAAGAGGATGGGAAGGGACCTTGTATGCCAGGGGTGTCAAACGGGATTTCTTCTAGGGCTGGATCAGCATTGCAGTTCTCCTCCATGGGCCAGTGAGGGGTGGTCGGCGGGGAGCAATGAGGGGAGATGGGACGGATGCCTCCTGAAGGACCCTGCTGGACAAAATGGGACGGGGGGAACCTGTGCGGCCCCCACGTGCCTAATTTTCGCCCTCCATGGCAACACTCTGCCAGACAATAATAGGCCAAAAATGAGGCCCCCGTGTGGCCCATTTTTGGCCAGGAGAATGCTGCAGGAAGCCATGGAGGCCAAAAAACGGGCCAATGGGGATCCACACGGAGCCAGTTTTAGCTGGCAGAAGCACCGCAAGCCGGTTCTTGGATATTCCTGGCCCTGCCCTGTGAGCTGGATTTAAGCACCCCATGGGCCGGATCTGGCCCACAGGCCTTGAGTGTGACACCCCTGTAGCAGGTCATCTAGTCCAAACCCTGCACCAGGGGTGAAATCCAGCAGATTCTAATAGGTTCTGGAGAGCCGGTAGCGGAAATCTTGAGTAGTTCAGAGAACCGGCAAATGCCACCTCTAGCTGCCTCCAGAGTGGGGAGGGATTGGAGATTTTGCAGTATCCTTCCCCTGCCACGCCCACCAAGCCACACCATGCCCACCAAGCCATGCCCACAGAACCGGTAAGCAGATCTGACACCATTTTTGACAGAGTCTCTTCCAGGGATGAAGCTCCCACAATGTCTGAAGGCAACTTCTGTCCCATGGGTTGATTGCTCAGAAATATTTCTCCTTATTTCCAGGTCTTCAGAGTGTGGTTAAAAGAAAGTCAAGATTGCATCATGGTGGGATCAAAAACTCTGCCTGGCTTTTGAGTCCACTGTTCTGTCTATCATCTTGACTGTTTTGACCCCCCCACCTTATGGACATCTCTGCCTGAATGTGTTAAAAAAAAATATATCACCACCGGGTTTCAACCTTTCATAGCAGGTAGGCCAGTAGCCCAGAAGGACGGGGCCATTGAAGGCAGACGGTGAGGGCATTGGGGAGGCCTCATCTCCACCAGCCAATTGGAGTGATTTGATTTGATTTTTTTTTATTTTACCTTTATTTGTATGCCGCCCTTTTCCCTGAAGGGACTCAGGGCGGCTCACAATTCAAAAGGGAGGGGGGAGACGACAAACAATAAACAATACAGCATATTAAAAGAGAAAAAACGCAACAATCACACCATTCGAGTGGGGCTATAATCTTAGCCCCAGGCCAGCCGGGACAGCCAGATCTTTACAGCAGCGCGGAAGGATTGGAGGGTGGTGAGGGTCCGAATCTCCACGGGGAGTTCGTTCCAAAGGGACGGAACAGCCACCGAGAAGGCCCTCCTCCGGGTAGTTGCCAGTTTGCACTGGCTAGAAGATGGAATTCGGAGGAGGCCTAATCTATGCGATCTTATCGGTCTAGTGGAGGTGATTGGCAGTAGGCGGTCTACTGCCTACAGTGGAGGCATTTGGGTAAGACAGAAGGAAACAACACAAGTGGATTTGACTGTTCTGGTTATACCAGCGTAAAGAGAAACACACTACTTCTGACACACAACAGTGGAACAGGTCATCTCCCAAGTGGCCAAGCGGTATTCTGAGGGGGTCATCAGCCGCTCCTACCCTTATGAAATCGAAAGTATCCTGCTTTTCCTTGTCGTCTCCTGGGCCAGTCCAGAAGTGCAAATCAGCACCGCACTGAGTGGTGTCATGGCAGGACTAGTGAGTGTTAGTGAACTTGACACCACAAAGGTGGTTCCACCACAGAGTCATTCTCTCAGGGGTGGGCTTCAAAATTTTTAGCAAGGGGTTCTCTGCCTGGTTGCTGGGTGGGCGCGGCCATGATGGGTGTGGCCCAGCCTATCTCCTGCACCACAGCAGGGGTGGGGGGGGCAGTTTTCCCCTCCCTGGACTCTGGAGGGTTTCCTTGAGCCTCTGGGAGAGTAAAAATGGTCTCCTCAGATGCCACAGGCCCTCTGGAGGGTACGTTTCTGGCCTTCCCAAACTTCTGGTAGGTCCTTTTCTGCCCTCCGTGCATGCCCTGGACTTACCTGCATCCAAAATAGGCCACATGGGGGATGCCTAGAAGGGGCAGGGAGGAGGGCGAGGCCAGCCAGGAGTGGGATTTGGAGGTTCTCTGAACTGCACAGAATCTTAGCTAGGGGTTCTCCCGAACCCCTGCGAACCCCCAGCAGCCCACTTCTGCATTCGTTCAAATCAAACTCTGACACAAAATGGAATTATTTTGAAAGTTACTGCTTTATTGAATTGAACCATGGCTCAGTTAATTTTGCACATTGATTGTGAGAAACGTTTTGACCCATCCAGAAGGATGAGAATTCTGTTGAAAGCCGACTCAAACAGAACGAGCCATGTTGGCTCCTAGGTTCTACTCAGGTGGAGCGATGGCCTTGGGGTGCAGTTATACCTCAGTGGGAAGACTGCGGGAGGGCTGGGCTGCATTTGACCTCCAGCTCCAATTCCTCATAAAGTGTCCAGGACTTCTTCTTAAGTAAAGTGCACACACTCTGAGAAACGCATCCTTTGAAAGACATCCCTCTGGAGATATCTGAAAAAATTAACCAACATGGTAGTCAGTAACATCTCTACAGTATCCCATCCTTCAAAAATGGGGAAGGAGAAAGGGTTGAAAATTCTAATTGGAAAACTAAATGTGGCAAAAGGAATTGATTGGGGGTGGGAGAGATGAGGAGGAGGGGGAGGAATTGGGAAGGAGAGGAGAAGGAAGGGGGAAAGGGAGAAGGAAGAATGGGGAGGGGGAGGGGGAGGAGGAGAAGGAATGGAGAAGGGGAGGAGAGGAGAAGGAANAGGTAGAGGAAAAAGGTAGAGGAAAAAGGTAGAGGAAAAAGGTAGAGGAAAAAGGTAGAGGAAAAAGGTAGAGGAAAAAGGTAGAGGAAAAAGGACGCCGCGCTAGGAGGAGACTCTATGGCAAGGGGCGGGTTTTCCAATCAGCTCCACAATTGCTAGGGCTTTCGGTTAGGACAAGTAGAGGAAAAAGGGCACTAGGAGGAGACTCTATGGTGGGGGAACCGGACTTCCCATTGGCTCCAGAATTGAATGTGGTGGGGGGGGGGGCTTCCGATTAGGACCTTTGTGGCTCTTTGAGTGTTTAAGGTTGCTGACCCTTGGTTTAGGACTACCTGTATTGAGGGCTACCTGAATCCCCCTGCCTGTCTATCCCACGACTCTTAACATTTCATACCTAGCATCACTTCACTTTGAACGGTAACACAAGTGTCTTCATAATTTTTACAGGTGCTTGTCCAGCCGGTACATTTTGAGCCCAACCCCGAACAAACCTCACACTCGAGACACATGCCTGGAGAAGGAAGAGACAACATTATTTTTGCATGCTTTCTGCGGGAGTGCCCTGCCCTGCCCTGCCCCACACGTCAAATGGTGATTCGAGCCATCATAACCCAGTCCATCTGCCTTTCTTGTCAAGAGCTCCTTTTGACAAGCCCCTCAACTGGCTGATGGGATTAGCCCGATGTCTGCCTCATCTAGGAGGATGGCTCAGTAGCCTAGCACAGGGGGTTCCAAACTCAACCACTTTTTAGATGGCGGGGGGGGGGGACTTCAACTCCCAGAATTCCCCAGCCAGCATTGATTCTGGGAACTGAAGTCCACAAGTCTTCAAGTGGCCAAGGGTGGACAGCCCTGGCTTACATTAAAACGAATGAACGAATGTGGTCTGCCATCTGAGGGGTTCCCGTACTTCTCCTACAGGCAGAGATGGCTGAGGGAACTAAAAAAGAAATCTAGAAAGTTCTAGCCATAACTATGCAATCCAAGCTCCAAGCAGAGCTTGGATTGCATAGTTATGGCTCCTTTCTAGATTTCTTTTCTAACACATGCAATAATAATAATAATAATAATAATAATAATAATAATNACACACACACACACACACACACACACACACACCGGTGACATATAATTCTTACTTTACTCAAAAAAGTGAACTCTATTCACACAGAGAAAGCCTAAAAGGCCATTAACTTGGTTTCAACAGGATTCAAATTGCCCCATTAAAGATCACATTGCCCCCCCTGTGGGGCGTGGGCCCCATGTTGGGAACCACTGGATTAGACAATGATAGTTTCCTGCTTGAGCCGAGGGTTGGACTAGAAGACCTCCAAAGCCCCTTCCAACCCTTTCATTCTGTTTTCCTGCCTTCCGTTGAGCTCCCAGATCATTTGAAACACTGGATGGGGACTCAGCATCATCTCCATCTCACACATATACCCATACATAAATTTCCCCGTCTTTCAAGGTTAATATTTGGGTAGCAACATAGAATAAAGTCCATTCTTACTATCTGCCCAACAAACAAAGGCTATCCAAGTCCTTCAACCGAGGTCAGGAACAGCCCACCTTGAAGTAAGGTAAAAGGAATCCAAGTCTTTGTAGAAGGGTCCTCAACCCTTAAGAAGGAAGTAGGCACTTACTTAGAGCTTCAAGAAGCTGCAGCCAGTATTTTTTCTCAAAGACTACCAGATGCCACCGGTCAATGGGCACAATGTGTTTCCTTTTTGTAGCAGAGCTAGTAGACTATGTTTTTGGAACCACCTCTCAGCCGCCCGTTATCCCTCTGGGATATATTTACTTTCCACCCAGATAGAGATTTTTTTTTTTTTAAAAAAAGGTAAATCTCTGGCCAGTCCACTGTCCTTTTCAAGGATAACCTGAGGCAATCGCCCAGAAGGGCTTGACCTGTTCTGATCCTGGAGCCAACTTCCTGTAGCCTGCTGGATCAGCCTGGCTACAGGCATGATAGTATTATTTGAGATTAAAAATTCACCAGGTGGTCAATATTGATTTCAGATGAAGAATGGTTGCAAAACATATGAAGAACAGTTGCAGGAACTGGGTTTGTCTAGTTTAATGAAAAGAAGGACTAGGGGAGACATGATAGCAGTCTTCCGATATTTGAGGGGCTTTATAATGCTTTGGTGAGGCCACACTTGGAATACGCCATTCAGTTTTGGTTGCCACAATATAAAAAAAGATGTTGAGACTCTAGAAAGAGTGCAGAGAAGAGCAACGAAGATGATTAGGGGACTGGAGGATAAAACATAGGAAGAATGGTTGCAGGAACTGGGTATGTCTAGTCTGATGAAAAGAAGGACNTTCTCTTCTATTATTCTATTCTATTCTACTACTGTACTGTACTGTACTCTCCTTTCCTCTCCTCTATTCTTTCCTTATTCCATTCCCTTCCCTTCCATTCCCTTCCATTCCATTCCATTCCATTCCATTCTATTCTATTCTATTCTATTCTATTATTCTATTCCATTACTGTACTGTACTGTACTGTACTCTCCTCTCCTCTATTCTTTCCTTATTCCATTCCATTCCATTCTATTCTCCTCTCCTCTCATCTATTCCACTCCTCTCTTCTCTCCTCTTCTCCTCCTCCAGGAAGGTGAACTCAAGACAGATCTTCAGCCTCTGTTCATAGGATCTGCTCTGGCTAAGCAAAACTAGTACAGTGTTTTTTTTTTCAACCTTGGCAGCTTGAGGATAAGGGGACTTTACTTCCCAGAATTCCCCAGCCAGCATAAGGGCGTTTCTTTCACTCCTTAGCGAGAGAGGTTTTAAGTACAGGGTTAAGGTTTAGCCCTTCGCGCTGACAAAGTTGAAATCAGAAATGGGCAGCTCTGCAAGAGATTAGAGTTCAACCCACAGGCTCCTTCACCCCCCAGGTCCCCTGGGGTTGGGGGGAGATTGGCTTCCTGGAGCTACCTACCTGGATGTGGCAGAGTTTGGCATTCACTCCCAGTACAGCAGGTTCGTTTTAATCTCATTCTTATTTCATCATGTAGAGTTGTCTCCAGGTAGTCAAGATCGCAAGTGTCGGAAACACCACAGTGTTTTGCAGTGAAAGTGACAGACGCAAAGGCTGCACAGGGGAGAAACAAAAAACAAAGGCATTTTATTTGAGATTCAAGGATTCCTTGGTAGGTTAAAATGCTGGACTAGGTGGAAATAGCAGGCAGTCCTCGACTTACGAGGCCCCAAACTGATAAACGAGACAGCTGTTGAGTGAGCTTTGCCCCATTTTACGACCTCTCTTGCCACAGTCGTTCAGTGGGTCACTGCAGTTGTTCAGTGAGTCACCCGGTCGTGAAGTGAATCTGGCTTCCCCATTGACTTTGCTTGTCAGAAGGTCGCAAAAAGGGACCGTGTGACGACCCCGGGGACACTGTGACCATCGCCATTGGCCGGTAGCCAAGCGTCCAAATTCTGACCACCTGACCACGGGGACTTTGCAACGGTCATAAAGTGTGAAAAACAGTCGTAAGTCACCCCTTTCAGTGCTATGGCAATTTTGAACGGTCACGGAAGGAATGGTTTAGGACAGGGCCGAGGAACCCGTGGCATTGGAGCCGCATGTGGCCGTTTCCTCCCTCTGCTGCGGCTCCCTGTCGCCACAATTTTGAGAGAAGCTTCTGGTTGGGAGGGGGGAAAGTACAGCGCGCCAGGAGGAGACTCTATGGCAAGGGGCGGGTTTTCCAGTCAGCTCCACAGTTGCTAGGTAGAGGAAAAAGGTAGAGGAAAAAGGACGCCGTGCTAGGAGGAGACTCTATGGCAAGGGGCGGGTTTTCCAATCAGCTCCACAGTTGCTAGTGCTTTCGGTTAGGACAAGTAGAGGAAAAAGGATGCCGCGCTAGGAGGAGACTCTATGGCAAGGGGGGGGGGGGTTTCCAGTCAGCTCCACAGTTGCTAGGTAGAGGAAAAAGGTAGAGGAAAAAGGATGCCGTGCTAGGAGGAGACTCTATGGCAAGGGGCGGGTTTTCCAATCAGCTCCACAGTTGCTAGTGCTTTCGGTTAGGACAAGTAGAGGAAAAAGGATGCCGCGCTAGGAGGAGACTCTATGGCAAGGGGGGGGGGGGTTTCCAGTCAGCTCCACAGTTGCTAGGTAGAGGAAAAAGGTAGAGGAAAAAGGACGCCGTGCTAGGAGGAGACTCTATGGCAAGGGGCGGGTTTTCCAATCAGCTCCACAGTTGCTAGTGCTTTCGGTTAGGACAAGTAGAGGAAAAAGGATGCCGCGCTAGGAGGAGGCTCTATGGCAAGGGGGGGGGGGGTTTCCAGTCAGCTCCACAGTTGCTAGTGCTTTCGGTTAGGACAAGTAGAGGAAAAAGGATGCCGCGCTAGGAGGAGACTCTATGGCAAGGGGGGGGGGGGTTTCCAGTCAGCTCCCCAGTTGCTAGGGAGGG